AGGAAGAGGGGAGGGAGGGAGAGGAAAAGAGGGAGGGAGAGAAAGAGAGCCAGAGGGAGGGAGAGAGGGAGAGAAAGAGCGAGAGATGACGAGGGAGTGAGAGTGTCAGAAAGGGAGGCAGAGAAAGAGGGGGGGAGAGAGGGAGGAGGGAGAAGAAAAGAGAGAGGGGGAGGGAGAGAAAGAGGGAGGGAGAGAAAGAGAGAGAGAGGGAGGGAGAGAAAGAGCGAGAGATGACGAGGGAGTGAGAGAGTGAGGAAGGGAGGCAGAGGGAGAGAGACAGAGAGGGAAAGGAGGGAGAAGAAAAGAGGGAGAGAGGGAGGGAGAGCAAGAGAGAGGGAGGGGGAGAGGGAGAGAAAGAATGAGAGATGACGAGGGAGTGAGAGAGTGAGAAAGGGAGGCAGAGAAAGAGAGAGGAAGGAGGGAGAAGAAAAGAGGGAGGGAGGGAGGGAGAGAAAGAGGGAGGGAGAGGGAGAGAAAGAGATGATGCGGGATTGAGAGAGTGAGAAAGGGAGGAAGAGAAAGAGAGAGAGAGGAGGAGAGGAAGGAGGGAAAGGAAAAGAGGGAGGGAGGGAGGGAGAGAAAGAGAAAGAGGGAGGGAGGGAGGGAGAGAAAGAGCGAGAGATGAGGGATTGAGAGAGAAAGGGAGGCAGAGAAAGAGAGAGAGGAGGAGAGGAAGGAGGGAGAGGAAAAGAGGGAGGGAGAACAAGAGAGCGGAAGCAGGAGAGGGAGGGAGGGAGGGGGACAGGGGAGATACTGGCCCAAAGTCCCCTGGAGCGGCAGTGAGGAGGGGTCCTCCTTGCCCACCCTCTCCTCCCCGCCTGAAAAGCTGCAAGAAGCTGAGCAAGAAAACGAGGCGGGTGCCGGAGACCTTCAGTTCCGGCTACTCTGGCCTGGGCCAAGGCCAGCTCTGCCTCAGCTCTGCACACCTTTTAAGAGAATCGTTAGGAACGATTTTTTCCTGCATCTCTGCTGCCCCCTGGTGGTCCTGCCGAAGACTGCGAGGGCTGGCCAAGCAAGGCGGATCCGAGCTCTTGTGGGCTGTGTCTGCCTTCTGGTGGTCATCAAAGGCCTTTGCCGATGATGGGCAATAAGCGCCGGCAGATATCCGAAGCTGCCCTACCTCTGCAGCCCAGATTTTGGGGTGGGGGGGGCCAGGAACTTGAGGGGCCCTTTTTCCGCGGATGAATTTTATTCAAAGCAGAAGCTTTCCTGAGCATGTCTGTGGAGATTTTCAGCCACCCAGGT